TAAAGAATATACTCTTGATCAAAAAACGAGAGAACAAAGGAGAGTACATCTTTTATTTTTAAAGTAAATCCCATTCACTATTGTGTTGAAAAAGAATCGCAAGTGATCCTTTTTCATTTTGTTTTTTGGTGAGGTGTTACGTTAGACCAATAATTGTAGCCCCACCTTAGATTTTACAAGTATATTTTTAATACCTTACATATTTGCAATGAGATATGATAATAAGTCGTCTCTTTATTTCTTTGAATATGCAAATTATGGAATATTTTTTTGTACCTGGTTAAACTAAAGCCAGTTCTTGGAAGAGAACCTTCCTTTCCCCCACCTCCGGTCTGGTCTCTGATCACAGGCCAGACAAATGCTGCTTGTCTAAGTACAAGTGACCCTAATAGTGTTCAATGGATAACGCCTACTCACTTTCATATGCTAACACGTGACTTAACCCCTAATGGATTTTTTTTCACGTGTATTAGGATATAACAACTTCACTTAGCTGTTTGCTTTCAGAGGAATCAGACGTCACCAAAATTGGACTTAGCTGTTTGCTTTCAGAGGAATCGGACATCACCAATAATTGAATGACCGATGAAAGAATCCTGAACGCTATTCTCAAACACAAGTCGTCTATACTCCTTTGGTTTATTTGTGTATACTACTCACCCTCAGCAAGGATTGAACGGCATTAATCAATGATTTGTATCAGGACATTAGTAACTCCACCTTTTTCGCTTGGAGTATTGAATGGACATCTTTTCTTTTGAACTTTATTTCTGATAACAATCAATTGACATCGATCCCTACAATTATGTAAGTCTTTACATGTTTTTATATATATATATATATATATATATATATATATATATATTCTATAATCTGCTGTCACTATTTTTGTCTGTATTTCGTTGCATTGATATGTTTGATCAACCAATTGTCCCCCATCCCTTTTACTATTTAGTTTTCTTTTCTTTAATTTAATACACTGTATATTTTATAAATAAAGTATTTTTATTATATTTTCTCGTGTCGTCTTCTGTTGTTCTGTGTCTGCATATTGTTCATTTTCTCACTGCATTCACCGACGTCCAGAATTGGAGAATTCCCCTCCCTTCGTTCTTTTCATCAATCTTACTTTGAACCCAGGGATACTCTCGTTTATTTATTTATTTATTTATTTTCTCGTTTATGTCCTGGCTATCATAGTCCCAACGAAACCCCCAATATATATATATATATATATATATATATATATATATATATATGTATGTATTCATATACATATATATACATTTATCAATAAAAATGTACACATGTGCAGACACAAACAACACCATATATGTATACCAACATATTTACATTGATGGGAGGATTATCAGGTAATAAAAGTAATAACATACTAAACTTACAGTAACATAGCCTTATCATCGAAAGTATTACTACACCTATAGTAAGATAAATTTATAGAAATCTAGTTCTTTCAAATTTTTCAAGACATAAATAACAAGGGTCATATAGAGAATTACATGTTCAAGTTCTCTTGATTAATTTCCATTTAGCAGTAGGTATTTTGTTTTTCTCCTTTAAACTCCAAAAATACTTGGATAATGAAGTCTTGTACTTCTCCAAGATGGTTTTGGAGAAAACCAACCAATCCATTAAAAATACCCTTGGACTCTTACAGTGGATTAACACTGCTGATGTTATCAATTGGTTTACTAGCATCCAAAATAAGGACAACTGCACTTTAATACAGTTTGACATTATTGACTATTATCTCTCTATATCTAAAAATCTGTTCACTTTGGCCTTGGAGTTCTCTCGGGAATACTCCAATATTTCTGAGAATGAAATGGATAGAATCATGAAATTCCGAAATTCTGTTCTAGTTTACAATGAAGAACAGTGGACCAAAAAGTCTTGCAGCGATAATTTTGACATTTCAATGGGTTCTTTGGATTCTGCTGAAGCCTCTGACTTGGTGGGATTATTCCTTTTATACAATTTGTGCCTTTGAATGTCTAGATTCTGATAGTGTAGGATTATATAGAGATGAGTTGTTAGTTGTTAAAAACTATAAAAATTAAGGTAGACCCTATTAGAAAAATGATTCATAAGGAGTTTAAGGATTTAGGTCTTAGGACTATAGTTACAACTAACATTAAACAGGTAAATTTTCTGGACGTCACCCTAGACCTTACTAGCAGCTCTTTTCAACTTTATATGAAGGTTAATTCTAACCCAGTACATGTACATCCCAATTCCCCCCCCCAACTTCGGTTATCAAGCACATACCCTTCTCCATTGAATTTAGGATAAGTACTAACTCTTCTAGCACAAAGGTTTTTAATAAACATTGTGAATTTTACAATTCTGCCCTTAGAAATAGTGGCTACAAGGGTACCACTATTCAGTATAGAAATCCTGTTAATTATGACTACAGTAAGAAAAGATCCAGGAAGATCATTTGGTTTATTCCCCCTTTCAACCTAATGGTTAAAACTAAACTAGGACATAAATTTCTAAACCATATCAAAAAAACATTTCCCCAACCCCAAAACTAACTAACTAACTAACTAACTAACTAACTAAAATATACCCTTACCCATGCTGATAACAAATATGGTGCCAGTTTGTTTACATTGCGCAAATCAGTACAAAAATTTCAGTGATTGCGCAGGTCAGTGTTGCCAACATTGTGTGAAAATTTTGTATGAATTGATTGGACGGTTTTTGAAATATTACAAAAAAAATTATCTCGATAAGAATTTGGCACGCAGTGTATATCTGAATATGTCTACATGTTTGTGTATTATAATCTGATTGTGTATATATTGTCTTTTGCAAGAATTCACCCTCCCCCTGACCATATCATCACTTCAAATGTATCTAAGTTGTAAGGAATTCTATTTTAGTCTAACCCTAACATTAAAGCATTAATTAATTATTATAACCAAGGTTCATTGTCAAGTTTTTTGATTTCTCATATACTTGTATTTTGATTGGTCATTCCAGCTTATGTAACAGCGTTTCCCCTAGTGATAGGTGTTTGATTGATTTTAACCTTTTAAAACTCTTTATTCTACATTCAACACCATCACTTGATAAGACACCAGAATTGTTGAAACAAAATGGCTATTTTTGTAATGATTTTATAACATATTTGTTATAATTTTTGAATAAATAATTATATATATATATATAAAGTGAACATAGAAGTCAGCACTTAGAGGCGACAATCTGTTTCATGCTAGACACAATCGTCAGGCCACGAGTGCTGTTATTTTTCTCACTGGTCAGTGGTGCATTGTGTGTAGTCTATTCTGGCAGTTATTTTACCGGAAGTCTTTATTTATTTATTTTTATTTCTTGTCATATATTTATTTATTATTATTTTTATTAGTCGGTGTTTTTATTAACGCATTAAAAATTTCTTTATATCGCTTATTTAATAGTTTTGTTTTGATTTGGGAAGATAATTAAAGCTATTTATTCAATTTTGGGGTTGATTGTTGTTGTTTATTCTAACTATTGTTTTGGCGGGAGCAGTTTTTAATTTGTTTATTAATTCATGTATTTGAATTGAATATCTTTATTTGTTTTTTTTGTTTTTTTTTAATGGTTACTTTATTGGGATCAGTTTGTTAGTTTATTTATTTGGATGAATTTAGATTAATTTATTTTACTTGTTTTTTATTATTTATTTATTATACTGTATATTTTTATTTACACTTTTCGATTTTTAAGTAACGTAGTATTTATTTTTCTTTTATCATTATATAACAGTTATAGCTATTTTTTCATCTGATTTTTGTTTTGATTTTTATAGTCTAACTAATATTTTGGTCATAATGGTTTGTTAATTTGTTTATTTACTTTATTTGGGTTCATTGATTTTGTTTTTTATTTATTTTATTTCGTCTATTCTAACGGGTGTGATTTGGTAATTTGTTTGGGTTAATTTATTTTGCTTATTTTATTGTCATTTTGTTTTTTATTATTTTCAGTTTTCAATTTTTAAGTAAGGTAGTAAAAATTTGTTTTCATGTCTGCATTTTCAGATGAGCTTGGATCTTTTATTTAATAATTTATTTTGGTCTGGGAAGGTAATGATAGCTATTTTTTTCTCTAAGCAAAGTTTGCAAGTTTTTGATTGGTTGTTGTAGGCTGATGATCTTTTTTCCTTATTTTCCAAGATATTTTTTGGTGTGATGTGTGTTTTTTTTTAATTTCCCAGATATACTTAGAAAGCATTGTGCTGTTCACACACACACACACATATATATATATATATATATATATATATATATATATATTATGAAATTATTAATAATTCAATATTTATTAAAAAAGTGAATATGATCTTTGTTCAGTGTGTTTATTTGAGGTTCTCGGTTTCAAATTTTTGGTTCATTAGGAAATGAATTCTTAAAATTAATGAACCAGATGTCTCAAAATTAAGGATATAAAGATTTGAAACCGAGAACCTCAGTCAAACACACTGAACAAAGATCATATTCACTTTTCTGGTTAAGTTTCCTGCTTTTAAGTATTGTTGAATTATTAATCATTCTTCTAGCTAAAAGTCAAATAAAATTAAGGCTAAATCATAAATTATGCAGTACATTAACTCTGGGGAAAACTTCAAAAGGATAGGATAGACTAAACCAGTGCCAGTATTATTGGAGAGAAATATAGATTAGAAGACCTTATTATAGTACTGCTGTGAATAGAATTAAGTAGATGTGAAAGAGTTTGTCTAACTTTTATTCCCAAACTTTTCTCAGGTAAACTGAAAACAGGAAGTACATATATTGTGAAGAATTTACACATTTCATAATGTAAAAATAATTGAAAGAATTTATAAGCCATTATAATCAGGTCTTATTCAACTGAGAAATATTATAATATATTTATTTACATTAAGTAAATAAATAAAATGTACCTCAATGGCCTTCATCAAATATGAAATGTGACTAGCTTTTTTTAATTTTTTCTTCCTGTAGGTATCAGCTGAGTTTCAAAGAAATCCTTGCCTATGAGCATGCTGATCCTGATGATGCAGAGATGTTAGAAAAGTAAGCAATTTTATCTCACAATTTTCTGTTGATTTCAAAGCTGAAAGGATGCATATTAACATTGTCTATTACTGGATATGCAAATTTAATCTCTTAAAACTTCACTTGCAGCCTACTTAAACACTGCTGTTTATTAGGTTAAACATTTTTCACAAAAGTGATTTGTTTCTTCGAGACTTGCTTTTGATAATGATATATTTTAGACATAATTCTTCATTTGTGTTTGGGTATAATGTTGATTTCCCAGATATTTAATTTAAGAATACATTTCCTCAAGAATAATTTGAGAGATTTTTTGTTCATGTTTGTTGCTTAAAGAGAAAATCAAATTTATACATTTGCTAACTCATCAATTTGATTAAGAAGTATTAGTGTTATCTCTTGAAAAAAATTAACTATTCATTCTTCAATTGAGATGTTTATGAATAAACATTGGTAAGGAACCACTTACCTAGTATCATCTGAGATACTCTAAGTTTAAGTTGACTTTCAATTTCTTTAAGTCTCTAAGACAAATTTGAATAATTATTTTCAAAGATTTCTTGTCCAGTTCTCTTTTTTTTTTTTTTTTTTTTTTTTTTTTTTAAATTTAAAAAAAGGCTTCTTTTTCATATTTGCTACTGGTCAATATTCATGTCAATTTATCCTTTAAATTCAATTAGAAAAAATTATGTGATTATTGTATTTTTTCTTGAATAATAAGTGTGTATTTCAGAAACCTTAATGTCTTCTTATTTATTTGTTTATTTATTGTCACCAAATGTACCTGTCTGTTTTTAAACACTTAATAATTTCTAATTTTTTTTGTTTCAAATTTTAGTGTTTTAAAAATTTAATTTTTACTTTAAATAACTGTACATATTCTATTCTTCATTCACAGAATTGACTCCTTCCATTTTGCTGTTTTCACCATTCTCATTATGGCAATGATTTTTTTTATACTTTTCAAAATTTTTTATTTGATTTAAATAAATTATGGAAATTTCCTATTCTTTTTAGGATTGCTCCTTTACTGATCTTGCCTCTTTTTACAGAAAATTCCCTTGCTGACATAAAAATATTTCTTCCATTTACTTTGATCTATCAAATTTACTTTAATCTATTACAGAAAAAAAATTTTTTTGTCTGCATATAGACGAAAAGAAACTAAAACTATTCTTTGAGATTATATTTTTTTTGTTTCTCATTTGTTATCCTCCATGTAAATATGTAATATGGTAGTTACTTAAGTAGAAAATTTTACACTTAATTTGCTTTCACTCCCAAATTTGCTACATAGAAAAAGGATGATGTTAAATTAGTAAGTTAAAGTATAATTTGTGTAATTCATTGTATAACTCAAAATCTGTAAATTGCTATCAACTCCTGTTTGCAATATTAAACCTTCAACAGAGACTATCAGTCTGCCATCATTATAGAGCATAATTTGTATTATTTTCACAATAACTCTCTTTTTATTGTAAGTAGTTGTACTTTAGGCATCATTTTTTGACATTGATGCTTGCTTACATTGACTTTTTAGTGGTTGTGACAGAGAAGCCAGAAATTCACATAATGATTGTTAAAGATAACAGCAGATAACATTATATACAGAGTGAACACATACAATGCAAACAAAAATATTAGCATATATAAGTGGTTCTGAAGTGCTTGGTATAATCCACTTCCAAAAATTTGATCAAATTTTTTAAGGGCTTCTTGGTTAGTTTAAGAACTTTTCAGTACCTTCTCACAGTTCCCATTAAAAAAGGGACAAATGAAATATTTTGGCTAGGATTTTCTTTTCAAACTGATCTCTAATATTTACAAATTGTCATTTATTGATATGAAACAATTCTCATAAATATCTTTATAATGAGAATTGTATCATTTAAGCACAAGTATTGTTAAGATCAACAATTGTCAGCTCAGATAAAATTGCTCTATTATAACTAAATTTTCATAGTGAAATCAAACTGATTTTAATTGCTATCATTAAAAGATTATAATCCATAAATATTAATGATTTAGCATAGAGAAATAAATGCAGAATAGTAAGTTATATCTTTAGTCTTGTGAAAGTATATTTATGCAATGTTTTTATTCAAAATTAACATTTGCAGCAGAGAATTCATCCCCTTTTCTTTAAGAAATTTACTGATGTAGTATTTTTTCTTTTATACAATTTTTCGTTATTTTATTTCCATAGCTGCACAAAACTTATGAAAGAAATTGTGCACATATATGTCTATGCTTTTTAACTTATTTAGGAGGTAACCTGAGTTGTTTTTTTTTTTAATCTGCTGAGAAGAGGGTTTTAAAATTTTTTTTTGAAGATGCTATATGACATAAGATAGGTTCTAACAACTAAACTTTTCAGTTAACCTGGTGAATATTTATGAGCATTCTTAAACTTAAAAATTTTGAGTAACTCTCAAATATATACTTGTTACAAAATAAAACCATCACATTTATCTTGATAAAGTCTGTCAGGTGATGAAACATGTCAGCTAAAAACAAAGTATAGTTTGCATTTTGTCTTTTCATTTTGTCTCTTCTACAGATATGCTCCATTAGAGAATATTTACACATTGTCAACATGGAAAGCAAAAACACAGAGATATATTTAGTCAGAAAATACAGTTACTAACATCCGCTCATTCCCACAGAAAAAGCTTTCTCAATAACTGCATTGAGGAAAAGTTATTCCCCAATGCACACACAACTTATTAAAATTCGCACTTTATAACCATGAATTCCGAAAAGTCATCAATACTGGAATTGGAAAAAAAAGAAGCTACACTTTTCCACAAGGCACACATAGCAGGAAGTGCTCTCCAGAAACATGAACAGACTACAAGAAATTCTACCAGCCACAACAAGAAGCAAATTCATATTTTAAAAAACAAGCTAAATATGTTGATTTGCAGTAGCAAATGGTCCAAGGTCAGCAGAAAAGATCTAATCTCTAACCTATCTGGATCTGAACTATCGGGGACACACCTAGAAGCCCTCAGCTTTGGTCTAAAATTTGCTACCGTATTACTGAAAAATGATACTATGGATTTCATAATGAAAAACCACCACCACAACAACTCTGATTCCACCAAACTAATATATATATATATATAACAAACAACACTTCCTCATAGATATATAAAAGTTCTGAAGGAATTAGCAAACAACAAAAACATCTACATAGCTCTTTCAGATAAAAGTGGAAGAATTGTAATAATAGACAAACTCCTCTACCAACAAAATGAGAGACCGCATCAATAACAACATCTACGAAAAAGTAAATGATAACAGAGCCATACAAGAGACACAAAAATTCATAAGCAACATCAAAAAATTACTACAAAAAATGAAGACACCTCCTGGCTGAAATTCATTGAACACCACCTAAAGACACTATACAGACTACCAAAAACACATAAACCAGATATACCAATGGGACCTATCATATCAGAGATAGACAGAACCCCACATTAACTAGCTGGCACACTAAGCAAAATCCTACCCCCCCCACTTCCTCGGCACAATTAGTCCCTCACACATAAAAAAAATCAGGTGGCCTCACCTGAAGCATGGCATGCCTTTCTTAGGATGAAGACCTGCTTTTGAGTTGGCTAAAGTTGGCTCCTGTTGCTTGCCCCAGGATCTTTTTTGCTGAACATTGTTGTAAACAATCCATTTCTCATCACCATTACAATTTGCTTCAAAAAGGGCACATTTTCATTACATTTATACAGCAAATCATAGATGAAATGTGATCCAAAAAATTCTTTTCATTCAGATCTGGTACCCAAACATTGTAGTAATTTGAGTACCCAAGCTTCACAAAGTACTCATGGATGGTGGATTTTAATAAATTTAGTGTTTCTGCCAATTCCCACATTGTGTAATGTGGGTTATTCTCAATCAATATCTTGATTTGGTCATCATCTGTCATGGAGGTCTGCCTGAGTATTCTTCAACAATCAGCAACTCTAAACATAGTGGACCACTTCCATACAGTTCTGTCAACTAAAGCACGTTCACCATACATAGCACATATCTTTTTTGTTGTTTGTGACACATTTTTTACCTTATGGTAAAAAAGGCACCAAGTGTTTAAAATGCATCTTATAATCTTCCATTTTCATAGGGATGCAAAATTGACATGAATTAAGTAATTTTAAACTTTCTTCTTCAAGAGATAGTTTGAAGTATGGTCTAATTGGAAATGTATGCATATTATATCTGTTGATAAATTTGACATGTTCTAATGTGTTGGAACATGAACAACTAAAAATTGGCATGAACTTTCCAGACAAGTGTGTATGCATATATATATATAGTAGAGATTTTGTAATCACAGATACAACTATAGTATGCCGTTGAACAATACAGGTGTCAGATGTCTTCGAATAACACTCACACTAATAGTACTTACTCGATAATACTTGCTTGAAAAGTAATCTGTATAGTGATCCAAATACAGAAATAGTATGTGAATAGAGTAGAGAATAGCAGTTCATATAGTAATAGAGGACAGAGTAGAAATAGAGATCCGAATAGTAATAGAGGATAGACAATGTAGATGTCACGTGACTTCCTACTTATGTATTTCCTCTATGGTCACATGGTCTACCTAATTTAATAATGAGATCGCTTGTGTTTGCTCACTGGCAATCTGTTCACGCTCAAGTATCAGCAACGACAGTTTATTCCTATATAACACGCACATACACGTATGTGTGTACTTTTTAAGCAATTAATGTATTTTTTTATCTGATATTATTTCTTATTACTATAAATATGTTTAGTGGGTACACCTGTTTGAGTAGATATTTTTTAAGCAATGCAATTGACACCTACTGCTCTGAGCAGTTAAAGAGGCATATTTTCTTTAATGAGACTGTTGATTGTCCAGATCAGTGGGTGTCATTTACAGGGATGTTTACTCCAGCACAGGTACCCACTAAATATAACATGCAAGATATATATGCCAGGTTTTAATGTGCGTCTACAGTACTGGA